ACCCATAGCGACCCTGTACAGGGTTTCCGAGGGTGTAAATCTTTACGGGAGCAGAAAGCCTCATCTTTCTCCCGCGGAGTGGCTGGTAGTTTCGAACTGCTGACCTTAAGGTTCGCAGCCCAATTTGTAACCACTATGCTACCAGAGCTCCATTGATTAATATCAATATGTTTATATAGTTCATAGCCTACCACTGTTCTGTTAACGGACCAGGACTTTTATTCTAATTTCCATGACTAACTTCTGTGGTTATTAGATTCATTTATTGCCACACTGTTATTTTCAGTTACATCAGTCATATATATAAATTTTTAATGATGAAAATAACATTTCGGTGTTAAAAACAGGAAAATTCTCCCTCACATAACCGACAAATTATATATATACCTTTTATAGAGAGATGTACTGAGTTTTTCTTTCTGATTTTGTTTTCTTTTTCAAGAAATAGTATGTCATGTGCATTTTTCTATGTGCTTAATATTCCATTATCATATAATGTCATATATTAAGGTATGTTCATAAGGTATGTTAAATATTCTGCTATTGGACAATTACTCCCAATTTTTGTTACTTTTTAAAAAAGATGAAGAATAAATTGGTATAGACATTGTAGAAAACTGGCGGTATCTGCTAAAGCTGAACAATTTTGTTCCTAAAGTATATACCTAACCGAAAGACATACTTATATCACTGAAAGACATGCACAAAAATATATGTAGCATTCTTGGTATGGTACTGAAATAATACCCAAAAAACCACCAGCAGTAGAGTGAAATAATTTGTGGTACATCTACAAACAGTGGAACACCATACATCAATGAGAATGAACACCAGTTACATGTAGCAATGTAGATAACATTTAATTTTACAGATAAAATGTTTACTGAAAGAAATATGTAAAAGACTACATATGGTCTGATTTCATTTATATACTAGCTCAAAAAGATACAAATGTAATTCATGGTCTTAGAAGCTGTTGTAGTGGTTACCCTAAAGGTAGAGGTGAGGTCATGGTGACTGGCAGGGACCAAAGGGGCTTCTGCAGAGCTGGTGAGCACTGTTTCTCAGTGTGTTTATGGGAATATGCATGTGAAAGGTCCCAGTCTTGAAAGCTCAGTGGAGCAATTCTACTCTGCACGCATGGGGTTCCCATGAGTCAGAATCAGCTTGACAGCAACTAACAGCACCAGAGCTTAAGAGTGTTAGCACATTCTTACCATACATATGTTGCAAATGACCCCTGTTCCATTTTCAGTTACAATTGTGAAGAGGCCATAGTGGCACAATCAGGGCCACTGAAACGCACACACTATCATGAGGGAATGATGGTGCTAGCCTTCAGTATTATCAGTGCCCCTGAGAAAACATTAAAAATTCTAGTACAGAGCTCTTACCAACAGCTTCATTTCATAGGCGATCTGGGCCTTAAATCCGAGCACTTGTGATTCTGTGTGGTCAAAACTAGTCCAGGGAGACTTTAAAAACTTCACAGAAAAATGGAATTTTTTCACAAACTTTTTGAGGCCCCCTCATAAGCCAGTGGGCAAAAATGATGGATTTACCTTCGTTTCTACACAATGATCAGTACAGCTACAGAAACTGTAGATAGTGGCTTAACAGTGACGTAAGTGTGCACAGGCCTGCTATATTTAGAATCCCATTCATCTCCTTGGCATCTCTGGGTACAGTAGACTTAGTCCTTTATACAGCCACTCACCCACCTTAACTGGAACAAGTAATGATTTTGGTCACATGGATTATAAAAAGAACACCAGGTTTATTTTTGTGTGACTTGGAAGGAAGGTGGGAATCGATGTTTGTTCCATCTTTACTCTCCATATTCCTTCCAAGCACATGAGACCTGATTAAGATCTCCAAGGTAGTATTGCAGTCTTGCTGATAAAAGTCAGTCTGTCTAAATTAAAGGTGAAAGCTTCAAAGTGAAGACATCTTGGCTTACGTTGGGTGACTGTCCCACTGTGGCCACATCCTCATGCTTGGGGTAACTTAAGTTTTGAATTGGACAGTACTCTTATGTATTATAGGTTGCTAAGGGATTCCTCGGAGTCTTGGTGTGGCACTGTGGGATAAGCACTGGATGGCTAACTACAGGGTCAGTGGTTCATACCCACCAGCTGCTCCCAGAAACCCTACACGGGGTCTCCATGAGTCAGAACCAACTCAACAGTACAACAATGAAAACAAGGGATTTTTCAGTGTCATAGACCAGGTCTTTATCTCTTTATCTATCAAACATCCTCTCAGAGTAATACCCCCTGTGATGTTGAAGTTCTGTGAATCCTGGATGCTTATCATCTGACTCTAGAGTGGGAGGGGGGTAACAGCAGCAGGCAGGGCCCTGGGAAGTTTCTGAGCAGTGTTGTAAGATGTTATCTTAGTTGTGTCACAATGGTATGGGCCTCAGATATCATGAAGAAGATTATCAGGTGCTGAGCTGCAGGGGAGCTTCTTTTTGGTTCAAAGAATACGTTTGGGAGCAAGGTTTGAGGTTGCACATGGTCTGCTCTTTGGCGTCATCGAGAAGGTGACCTGGTGGCACAGTGATGTAAACATTGGGCTGCTAGGCTTGAGATCTCAGGTTCCAACCTACCAGCTGCTCCAAGGGATAAAGATGAGGCTGTCTGCTCCTGTAAAGATGTCCAGTCTAGGAAACCTTAAGGAGCAGTTCTGCTGTGTCCTGTGAGTTGGAATCTGACCTGATTTGAGGGAGTTGGGTGTCATGAGGACATCAAATCACCCAAATTTCAGAAAGCCAGTTTGGTCTTTGCCTTTATTTAGAAGCTGCAATACCATAAAATTAGACAGCTGTAACTTCTCAAGAGGACTTCCAGGACTGGTGGCTATAGACAAGAGTTGACTAAATCAGGCCATGACAGCCTGAATGAAAGCTTCCACTGAAAAAGCTTGTTAATATCCCCAAAAGGATTTCACCTGCCCATTGATTCAGAGTCACACAGGTAAAATAAAAAACTAGGGTCTTTATGTAATTTTAATAAGATTTATTTTATTTTCAATTCTGTTCTGCTGACCTTCTCGTGCTTTGGTTTTTCCTTCAGCCTAGGCAGGCTAACATCTCTGCATCTGTTTCTTCATCTTTGTTGTAGCTCATTCAGACCAATAAGCTGAAGCACTACCCTAGCATCCACGGAGACTTCAGCAACGATTTCAGACAGCCGTGTGTGGTGTTCACGGGACATCCTTCTCTCCGTTTTGGGGATGTGGTCCACTTCATGGAGCTCTGGGGGAAGTCTAGTCTCAACACTGTCATATTCACAGGTAAATACAGGGAAACGCACAGAATCCTGTCCCTCACTGGGGCTGTCAGTTAATGCACCTTGCTAAGAGAAATCAGGGGTTGTGTGATTGTCCATGTCTCTTCTGGGTAAAGGATTTACATTTAAACTCTCTGTTTGCCCCATTTTTGGAGGTTTCTGGGTATTCTTAGGGAAACATGATGCACTGTAACTATTTAAATTTCCCAGATGAGTTAGAACAATCCGTTCGACAATCTGCGAGAATATAGCCACTATGGCAAATCTTCATCCTTTGAGGTGGGATTTGACTATCAAAAGCAATTTTGAAAAAAAATATATGTAGTTTAGTCTGGTGAGCAAGATGGAGTAATCAAGTTAGGTGATAAAGTTTGAAGCCAAAATGAAATTATACTTTCCAAGTGAAGATACTAATTCTTATAAGTATTATAAATTAGTTATAAATATTGATTTTCAAAAAGGGGAATTCAAAACCATTTTAAGTAAGTAATAAACTCATGGAAATATACGAGGTTGATATAAGCATGATGTGCATAAGAAGTGGTATTTTAGTTGGGGCACCAGCTGTATTGGAAAGTGTCATTCATCACATCAAGAGTGAGCTAGTGTTTCGGCTTAAGGTGGACAGCTTCCTTGGGTAGAATTGAACAGTTCCTGCCAAGCAGAGTGGAGCGGCTCTGGAGAGAACACACTCACTGTGGCACCAGATTACCAGCACCGGTGATATACTCAGGTTTGCTGATAGGAGCAGAAGCATTTTGTTTGCCTGGGTGGTGATGATGGTGTGCCGTGGAGTTGGTTCCAACTCATAGCAACCTTGCATGGGGTTTCTGAGCTGTGAATCTATACGGGAGCAGAAAACCTCATCTTTCTCCTGCTGAACAGCTGGTAGTTTAGAACTGCTGACTTTGAGGTTAGCAGCCTGACTCGTAACCACAACATTAAAGTCTGTTTCTTTATTTCTAGGTGCATTCTATCCAAGAGGTGGCCCGAGACGTTAATTTGTCTCATGTTGTTGGTGTTATTAAGTGCCATCGAGTCAACTCCAACTCATAGCAACCCTGTATAGGGTTTCCAAAGAGAGGCTGGTGGGTTTGAACTGCCAACATGCAACTAGCAATCCAGTGCTTATCTTACAAGCACCACACCAGGATTACATATTTAGTGTTAACTTGAGTCCTTAATGAAAGTGGCCTAGGCCAGATTTCTCCACTGTTTCACTCTTTGTATTTAGTAAGTGTCTTCTGGAGGGATACTTTATTTTATATATATAGAGAGAGAGAGAGAGTCCTGGTGTGGCGCTGTGGGCTAATGCGTCAGACTGTGAAGTCATTTGAACTGCAAGGTCGGCGGTTCAAGCTCCCCAGCTGCTCCTCGGAAACCCTATACAGGGTTGCTATGGGTCGGAATTGACTCGACGGCACTTAACAACAACAATATATATATATATTCTGTTCATCATCCAATTTTTAAGTTTATTTATTTTGTGAGGATAGGAGTAAGGAATAACGGTTAGGATTGTAACTAGATCTAGGTTAGGCCTAGGACTTTGTTTCATTGTTAGGATTACAGTTAGGGTTAATATTAGGGGTTAGGGTTGGACTAGGGCTAGATGTAAGGCTTGATTTCATTTTAGGGTTACAGTTAAGTTTAGTTTTATTTATTTATTTTTCTTGAAATCTGCTTGGTTTCCTCTTCATTTGGAAGTTCTCTAGCTACATTATTCTCTTTTTCCTTTATGGGGGGTTTTTGTTGCAAACAGTATGTCTGGTTCTCTTTTGTTGGCAGTCTTGTAGGTTTGTTTTACTTTAAATCTGTGTTGAGTTCTGGGTAATATTGTCATGTATGTTAGACTCAGGTTGTTGCCTGCTGTTGTCGTCCAAAAAACTCCCTTTAGTATTTTTTATAAGGATGGTTTGGGTTTTTACAGTTTCTTTTAATTTGTTTATTTGGAAATGCCCTAATTTCACTATCATCATCATTGTGTTTGATAGACAGCTTTGCTGGGTAGGTATATGATTCTTGGTTGACAGTTTTTTTCTTTCTGAGTTTTACATGTCATTCTGTTGTCTTCTTGCCTGCATGGTTTCTGTTGAGAAATCAGAGCTTAGTAGTATTATTAATTCTCATTTGCTAGTAACTTTTCATTTTCCCTGAGCAGCTCTCAGGATTCTTTCCTTGCCTTTGGTTTTGAAATTTGAGTATGTCTTGGTGATTTTCTTTTGGGGTCTGTTCTGTTTGGAGTTTGTTCAACTTCTTGAATGGCTAGCACCTTATCTTTCATGATGTTGGAGACATTTTCTTCCAGCAACTCTTTTTTTTTTTTTCGGTTGAATTTAAGTGAGACTTTATTGAGGGCCCAACACCATGGGGCTCAGGAGAACCCAGCAACGGGAGACAGGGAAGTCAGCAAAGAGAGGCCCTTATTTGACCTTCGTCTTGGGGCATAGGTTGCTGGTGTGGCCTCACTTCTTGAAACAGGTAACAGCACGGCAGTGCAGACAAAACCTAACACCTCTGTGAAGACAGGGGCTACTTTTAGGAGTGTGGGGGATACCAGGTGCTGTCAGTGTTCAGGCCTACTCCCTTTCCCCAGGCTGTCTAACCTGTGAATGGGCACATACGTGTGGCAGATCATTTTGCCACAGTGGTACTTCTGGGCGACCTGGCACAGAGAAGTCTCGATGATGCCATCACGCAAATGCAGCGTGAGGTACAGAGTAGACTCTTTCTGGATGTCGTAGTCTGAGAGTGCAGCTGTCCTCCAGCTACTTACCCCCAAAAAGCAGATGCTGCTGGTCACAGGGATGCTTTCCTTGTCTTGAGTTTTGGCTTTGACATTCTTGATGGTGTCACTGGGCTCAACCTCGAGAGTGATGGTCTTGCCCGTCAGGTTCTTCACAAAGATCTGTATCTCTTCATTCTCTGCTTGGCTACTTTGCTCCTTCCAACTTTTGGAAAATTTTCTTTATGGTTTTTTTTGTTTGTTTGTTTCTGCCTGTTCTAGAATTATTCCTCTTGATATAGTGTCCCATGTAAATATAAGTCTGTCTTTGGATTTTTTTATTCTTTTTTCAGATTGTTCCTTTAGCAGATGAATATTAAGAGATTTGTTATCAATCTCAGTAATTCAGTCTTCTTGATTACAATTCTTTTCCTTTTCCCTTTCAGAGTATTTATCTGTTTCTGAAATCTTAATATTTATCTTCTGGCTTTCTAATTGCTGTTTTTGTGTGGTTTTCCAATTTTTCTTTTATTTTGACAGTCTATTCTGGTAGTGTTTTCTTGAATTCTTCTAAAGTTTTTTCTGTGTTCTCCTTGCTTTCTTTGATTTTTCTCTGAATCCATTGAAGGTATGTAAATGCCATTCTTTTAAATTCCTTTCCAGTAGTTCTAATACCATTTCTGATTTTCTAACTCAGTATTTTGACCACTTGTTAGAGGCACTCTGTTTAGTTTCTTCATGTACGTTGAGATTGTCTATTCTCTCTGAGACAGTGTGGTGTCGTGTTTGTATTTAATTGATGATTGTACATTAGTGTGTTCTTAGTAGCTCACCACCTGTCTCCTGGTGGGTGTGAGAATAGTTCTCTGCTGTTTGTGTGGTTTAGTTCAGGCAGGCTCACACACCTACAGAAGCAGGGGTGGTACTCCTGGACCCCAGGTAGAGCAGCAGCTGTGCAGAAAAGGGTGCCACTGACTGCTGGGTTGGTGAGGGAGGGGACTGGCCATGCCCTGGCTACCAGGAGGGCATGGAACTGCACCCCCTCGCTACCAACCTCCAGCCATATCTTATGTTTGCTTCCACTTGCAAAAGCTCCAGATGGCCACACAACTCCAAGCCAGCCCATGAGCCACCCGTTTTCCTTCTCTCACACTGCTCCTGTTCACTTTCTCTTCCAGTTGGCATCCATTCAATCCACCTCTATGTCCCAGCCTCTGTAGCTTAGGGTTCCAGGATCTCCATCCGTATCTGCTTCACTTGGTCTCCCCTGTCTTTGTTGCAGAGGATCTGCTATGTACATCAGCCTACTCCATCATCTTGCCCTGGAAGTCTCTACAAATTTTTTTCTAATTTTTTTTTTTTAACCATATATTAATGAGATTCTGTCTGAATAAATAATTACTATAATGGCTGCCAGATGGTGATGTTCATCGTTGTTTTGCAGTTGTTAGTTCAAATTCTCTTGTAAAGATTTATTTATTTCATGTATCTCCTCTCCTCCTATCTGTCGGTCTTTCTGTGTTGAAAACTTTGAATTCACACTAATGCTTTCAATTCCAGTTCTATCCCACAGGGTTCATTCTAACCTGTTTTACCTTATTTGTTACTCTTTCCTCTGACGTTAAGAAACCTGACTCCCATTCTTCTCTATGTTTTTACTTATTTGCTCTTTCTCCTCACCACACTGACCATCTACCTGGCCCCGGTCACACTGACCACCTCCTTGCCTGGCACAGATCGCACCAGCCACCTTCTTGCCAGGAAGCTCCTCTGTTGACTGCATTTTAAGATCTCGTTTTTGTTTTGTTCTGTAGAACCGGATTTCTCCTACCTAGAAGCACTGGCTCCCTACCAGCCCTTGGCCATGAAATGCATATACTGCCCCATTGATACACGACTGAATTTCATCCAAGTGTCCAAGCTGCTTAAAGAAGTGCAGGTAATGAAGTAAACCAAGGTCATACTTTCAATTAGTGAGGTTATCTCTGTGAAGCTGCAAATCTGTAATAAAAGATGACTGGGTTGTCTAGTTGCATATGAGTCCTACTTTTCCTAACATTTTGAACATTCACAGAATGCCAAGGCGTATGCTAATTACCCTGAAAACTTAACAGTGATGTTCACTACATCCTGAAAGAAGTTTTCATTCTAAAGACATCAAAACTGGATGGAAAAGAAAACATAGTCTGTTATTTTTGAGGAAGCTCATATGTGTCCAGTTAAAAGCATATTGCATACCATCCCCAACAACAATAAAGAAAAGACATTCTAGTAACATGTTCCCTAAGTTGCAAGTCAGTTTGCTTGAAACATTGACCCAAAATGGCACCATCTGCCCCTCTCATAGCATGTTCTATTCAGCTGGATTTCATAATTCACCGCACTGGCCACACCATACTTGCAGTTTTGGAGTTTACTGGGGAATTTAATAGATTACAGTTCATCTTCATCAGAAGATGCTCAGGATACAGATCTTAAATCAGGACAGCCTCTTCTCTGCCATGCTTTGAGGCAAACTTCTCTCTGGTTCTTCACCTCAGCCCTGGGCCCCTTGATCTCTGCCCTGCTCTGGCAGTGTTACATAGCTCTTTCACACCTGCTGATCTGTGCCCAAAAGACACTCCCACTCTGCTAGAAACCTCAACCTGAAGATGCTCAACTCTAGTTCAGTGGGTCAGCGAACATAGCTCCCCCCATAAGTGCCTGGAGGCACCCTACTCCACAAGCAAGCCTCCTGTCCCACAGCACTTAGCTTGCTCTGTGGACCAGGAAGCCCACCGTTCTGTCGCATACTTTGACTCTTAGTTCTGCTGCTCCTTTGGTGTCACAGCTTTGCTTCCTGCACCAAGGAGGTTCAATGCACAGGAATCCTGGAGCCCAAAGTTATGTGAGATCTGCCTTCTGCTTCTGAGATGGCTCATTTTATACCCAGCAGGATGGCCGAATTGACTGATCACAGTTAACTCTGTAATTGATTATTCACCAAAGAATCATATAATCCATCAGCATCTTCCCCCACCGTCTCTTACCCAGGCCCTCAGTGCACCGCAAACATGTATTGGGTCTTTATTGTGCATGTGGTGGGTTAGTAGCACTAACTGTTGTTTTACATTCTGTGAGAAGTTTCTTGTTGGCTTTTTTTGTTTTGTTTTTTCATTTTGCATTTGCTATCATAAAGAATGGAAGACATTGTTGAGGTAAAATGTTAGACAAAAGGAAGAATCTATGTAGAAAGGGGAATGTAGAGAGAAAGCAGGGAATGAAAAGTCACCACACTGGTTTTCATCACTAGTTGTGTGTGGTAAGTTTTTTGGTAAATGAGGAGGGAGAAAAAGGATTAGAACTGAAAAGGAAGACATCTTAGAAAGTGGAGACAACTTTTATAGACAGGAAAACTTTTGGAGCTTGAATGAGTGCAGTTTAGCTGGATCTGAGCATCTCACTTCATGTTGGTTTTGTTTTTTATTAATTTTCATAGTTTGGGTGATCAAATTAATTTTCCCTTCTGCAATTTATGTATGGTTTGTGATATTGGTTGCAATCCCTTCACTGAAACAACACTCTTCCCACTTCTTCCTTGGACTCCCTGTTTCCCTTCACCCTTCTTCTCTACCCCTTCCTGCCTTCTGAACTTGGTGTCAAATTGCTGCCCTTTTGGTCTCATGTGATTGAGTCAGTTCTGACCCATAGAGACCCTGTATAAGGTTTCCGAGGAGCAGCTGGTGAGCTTGAACTATCGATCTTGCAGTTCAAACGACTTTGCAGTCTGGCGCATTAACCCACAGCGCCACATCAAGACTCCAGTCATTTTAGAGGCCTGTCTATTGTTTAGCTGAAAGTTGACCCCAAGAGGTGGGTTCATTTCCAGGCTTGAAGAGTGCCTAAGGGCCACAGCTCAAGCATGACACCAATCTCTATAATCAGTAAGTCTGCTCTTTTTCATGATTTTGAGTTTTGTTTTACATGTTTTCTCTCCTGCTCTGCCCAGGCATCATCTAGTTGTGATCTCGGGGTAATAGAGGCTGTAATTCACATGGTGACTTACTCATGTGGTCTAATTGTTTTAAGTCTTTGTTTTTCTTCATTCATCTTTATGTAATCTAAGTCTTTGACCTAGTTCAGAAATCCTTTCTCCTCCTTTTTACAAAATCTTTGACCTCAGGAAGGGAGGGTCTAGCACAAAACTCTTTAAGAAGTATAACAAGAAAAAGAGAAAACCTAAGAACTTCAGGAATGCATGGATTATTGACTGTGGCTACTACCAGCCTTCTTACTTACTCTACAAGAAGAGAATATGGGCTTTTTCTAGGCATAATAAGAGCACTTACCTGATTTTTGGCCTTGATAGGGTGATGGATTATGCTGGAAACAGTAGGTAAGAGATACTGGTTTCCAGTAGTTAGTAAGTACAACTACAAATCCTAATCCCTACACAAGTGTTGTAACTGTTTAAACCAGTATAGAGTGCTGTTTGGCACTGGACGTGACCTGATCTCTACTTCAGGAGAGGATAACGTAGGAGAAGTCCCTGGGCTGAGCGTTGTTTCAGCCAGCTGTGGGGCAGGGTTACAGAGACACTAACTAGGTCAGGAAAGAAAAGTTTGAGGAGGGAAAGATTAGCTCTAAAGAGCAAATGCTGTTTAAAGCCAAACGATTCTGCATGTTAGAAAGTCATTCTTCAAAGACCTTGAGGATTAGACCAACAAGTATGAAGTAAAATCAGTGACCGTATAGGTGTTTTCAATTGGATGGTCTTTGTCTGAAGTATATTCTGGTTTACTATTTTTTTTTTCTCTCACAATTTAACGAAAACATTTTTGTTTAAAAATAAATAAATAAAGTTCTGTGCAAATGATTAAATATGTTTTCTGACCAATCAGTGCCCACTACCTAATGTGAGTTGACCTGCAGGCAACTGAAGAAACTCAAAACCAAAAGTAGCAAACTAACATGAAACACAAACACAGTCTTTGCTAATAGCCCAGCATGCCTAAAATGTGCCTTCAGAGAGCTCAGAGGCCAGTTAGAAGACACATTGACATTAAGATGACTTAAATAGAGCATTAAAAAAACCCAGCAAAATAAGACAATTAATCCCTCACTCACCAACATGACTGGAAGTTTGTGGGTTTTACCTGAGTTTTTTATTCTTCTTTCCCCCATTATGCTCATCTCTTAAGCCCTGGTGGAGCAGTGGTTAATCTTTCAACTACTAACAGAAAAGTCCACAATTCAAACCCACCAGCTGCTCTTTAGGAGAAAGATATGGCAGTCTGCTTCTGTACAGAATACAAAACAGTTTTGGAAACCCTTTAGGACAGTTCTATTCTGTCCTGTCGAAATCCTGGTGTGGCACTATAGGATAAATGCTTGACTGCAAGGTCAGGTAGAACCACAAGGTTGGCGGTTCAAACTCACCAGCCGCTCCTCAGAACCCCATACAGGGTTGCTATGAGTTGGAACCAACCCGACAGCCCTTAACAACAACAACACTCTGTCCTGTGTGTCGATCTGAGTCAGTCACTGATTTGGAATTGACTCGACAGTGTGTTTGGGTTTGTGGATGCTCATCTCTCCTCCTGCCAATTAGTTGAATTTAAGAGGATGAAAATTAGAAATGACCTGAATGTTGTAATGAGCATGTATCTGGAAAGACAGAATTAGGATAGTTTACAGGCCTAGCAAATGCTGGCCGTATTCAAAATCGTTTGCTTTTGCTTCCCTGCCTCATCTTGTTTTTTTTCTTCTGCCTTAACTTTGCCCTTCTGGTTTCCCCAGCCCCTCCACGTGGTGTGTCCTGAGCAGTATACCCAGCCGCCCCCACCCCAGTCACACAGGACGGACCTGATGATTGACTGCCAGCCCCCTGCCATGTCCTATCACCGGGCCGAGGTCCTGGCCCTGCCCTTCAAACGTCGGTATGAGAAGATCGAAATTATGCCCGAGGTGAGCCATCTTCTTTCTCATGGCTAAACTCAGGTTTTCCAACTGATTCTTGTGAAAGAGATTGTCCAAGAGCTGTCTTTCCTTTGGGTTTGCGTCAAATACGAATCAACAAAGAACAAGTGAGTAACTATAAGCATATAACCAGGAAAGAGTTAGGATTTTCCAAGCCTTCTCTTTTTCAACTAATGAAGTGTTAGCTGTTAAAGTTAGGACTGCTGCTTATATGAATGTTTTCAGCAGTACAGTTCCTGAGGTCAAGTCCCTGACCAGAACCTTGGAGAATAGAAATGCTGATGCCAGCTCTGTCCTTCACTTCCTTAGTGGTTAGAGTTTTTCTTGTCTTTCCTAGACCTCATTTATGATTAAACATCGAGTTTCACTGAACTTCAAAGATAAATGGAGCAGAGAAGAGTAACCAAATGTAAGCTTTGCTGTTGTTATTGTTGTTGTGAAGTGCTGTTGAGTCGGTTCTGGCTCATAGGGACTTGTATAGGGTTTCCAAGGAATGGCTGGTGAGTTTGAACCACTGGTCTTGCAGTTCAAATGACCTTGCAGTCTAGTGCTTATCCTACAGCACCACCCCAGGACTCCGTAAATGTAAGCTTGTTGTTGTTGTTCTTAAGTGTTGTCGAGTCGGTTCCGACCCATAGCAAGCCTGTATAGGGTTTCCAAGGAGCAACTGGTGAGCTTGAACCACTGACCTTGCAGTTCAAACAGCTTTAGCAATCGGTACATTAACCCACAGCACCATACCATGACTCCAAAATGTAAGCTTAGTATAGTTATATTCATTTTAGCATTGCTTACAGTTTTTGATCTATCAAAGTAAATATGAGGGGGCTTCAAAACGTTCATGGAAAAATTCTGTTATCCTTTCATTCTGTTTTTTCACAAACTTCCTGAAGCCCTGTCATATTTTGCACTTATATAAAACTCTTAGCTTCTGGTTTAATAAGGAAAAAAGTGTATGTATTGTGCATCTGGAACATTTGGAGACAAGAGAGGAAGTTGTCCATCTCCTGCAGTTACTATGTTTAAAACTCAGTAGGAAGCTACTTCTGGCTTTCTTTTGCCTTTTGAGATACTTGAACTTGTTTTAAAAGTAAAAAGTGGAAGGAAAACTTACTGAAATCCGTGTACCAAAATTTATTTTTGGAGTTGCAAGTTCAGAAATAGTATCCAGCTCTTAGATTTGAACTTTGAAGTTCCCGAATGTTGCTCACTTCTGTGGGCCCTGACACAGGGTGGTGGTGAGGCCATGCCAGCAGGGACCAGCTCTTATACACCCCACACAGCGGGCCCAGCCCCAGTTCCAGCACAGCTAGACCTGTCCAGAATTAACCCTCTGGAGGTCTTTGAGGTTTTGTTGTTGCTACTGTTCAGTAATTTTTTTTTTTTAATTAAGAACAGTAGATAAAGGAGATTCAAGCCAATTTCAGTAATTAATTTAAATAAAATTAATTCAATAACAAAATTAACAGCATTTTTCAAATGCAAGCCATCTGTTTTTCATTAAAGTGCATATACAACATATACGTAGACTGCTGGTCCCATTTGATGGCCATTTCTGTGGTCCTAGGGAGGGAGTATGGTGGTGTGTGCTCAGGCACCAGTGTGTGGTGGGGAGTGTGGCCTGATGTGAGCCCATCCTGGCAGATGCTGACAGAGGAGATCCCCCAGCCTTCAGATGGGGCCTCCCTGATAAGTTAGAACTGTTCATTTGACTATTCATGAGACTATAGTCACTGTGGCAAGTCTTCATCCTTTGAAGTGGGATTTGACTATTGAAAGCCAATTAAAAAGAATATTTGTAGTTAAGTCTGGTGATCAAGATGGGGTAATCAAGTTAGGTGATAGGGTTTTAGGCCAAAACCAAATTACTACACTTTTTAAAGCAAAGATATTAATTTTCTTATGTCTTATAAATTGGTTCTAAAGATCATTTTTTAAAAAAAAAAAAAAAGGGGAAGTCAAAAACAGTTTAAGCAATAAACTCATGGAAATATATGTGAGGACTTCAAAAACTTCCTGGGAAAATGGTATGAAAAGATAATGAGAATTTTTCCATGAACTTTTGAAGCCCTCTCGTACTGACTGCTTTGAAGGTCATTTGGATGTTTTGGGTCTAAAGGTTCTTTAAGGAAGGAAAAGATGATTAATTTCTAGTTTCAGCTTATGAATTAGGCTACTTGTCCTTGTAGGCAAACACTTGGGTAAGCAGCTGACTTCCATTTCCCTCTTAATTATAACTTGCTAATGAGTGACATGGTCAAGGCTGCCTTTCTCATGCATTTCCTTCTGATGGTTACTTTATATTTTCATAATAGGCAATTTGCTTGGAGCTTGGCTTTAATAGGCACTTCCTGTTTAGGCTGAAGCCTATCAAGACTCAGGAGGATTCAGATTCTGTTCTAGAATGCTACATTCCAGGTTACCCTTTTGCTCTATTTCACTGGTCCAGCCCCTTTTGGGTCCCCTATAAATTATAATGAGAGTAACTAATATTTTGGGGCCAAGGCCTATACTAAGCACATATCATGGATGATCTCACCATGATTCTAGGAGGTGTAGGTACTGTTATTAAATTTCATATGGTCTCAACTGACAGGGAAGAGTCTAGTCCATCTCTAAAGATACCTCAGATGACACTGGCACATCATTCTACAAAGACCATTCTGAACAAGGCTTACAGGTGGAGTCGGGCCCAAGTGTGACTCACGGTTGAGCTCACTGCCTGAGGCCTGGCTGCTCACATCATTCTTTTCTCTCTGCACACCCCAGTGCAGTAATGGTCAAGGTGCAGTTCCCCAGAGCAATAGCATCACTTGGGGACTGCGAGCACTGCAGACAGATTCTCAGGTCTGCTTAAACAGAATCTCTGAGGGTGAGGCCTAGCCACCCGTGTTTCGGCAAGCCCTCCAGGTGATTCTGATGCACCTAAAATTAAAGCCATTCCATCAAGTTGACTCTGACCCAAGATTGTGACTTTTCAGGAGATTGCCAGATCTTCCTTCCCAGCCAGGTTTGAGCTTCTAACCTTCCAGGCAGTAGTTGAGTACTTAACTGATGGTGCCTCCCAGGGACTTGTTGCTCAGTTGAGTATGAGCAGACTAGCAGCTCTTGACCCTGACTCCTGCCACACACCCACCAATCTGCCCTGGCAGGCCTCATGGTCACCAGTTCAGTCTTCTTTCCTCTCAGCAGAGGCTCTTGTGGACCAGCTCTCCCCCTGAGTCATTCTGCTGGAACTCTGAAATACTGAAGCTCAGTGTTAGACCTCTACTTGTCCAACCCACTTTGTTAATATTGCCTTCAGTTGGGGTTTTTTTTGTTTTGTTTCTGTAATGTGGCATTAATATATATATATTTTTTTTTTTATTTTATTTTTTTGGATGGGAGAGAGAGAAATGGGAGCAGGTTTCCCACTCCAGAAGTGGGGTGAGTTTTTATTTCATTGTTTTTAGAAGTGGCCTAGCCTTCCCTCCTTCTAGGTGTTCTGAGCATTTACTACGTCTTTATGGTCTTACTTTTCATTTTCACTATGTTTTGCTCATCTTAAAAGAAACTGGCATTTTAGCTTATTTACAGTGACTGAGGTTGAAGAATTATATTTAGATATCTATAAGCTAGCAGCTATCAAACTTTTTGGTCTTATCATTTGAGAATCCCAAGAACATTGGTTTATATGGATGAAATCTGTTGATATTGGCTATATAAAAAGTTAAAACTGTTTTGAAACACAGACGTATAATCCCATTGTATGTTAAGATAGTCAAAGAATTCTTATGAAAAATATGTTTACACACACACACACACACACAAAATGTTTAAATTAGTAAAGAGAAGGGCACATTTTGTACTTAGAAATGTCTGGCTATAGAAGACGTCTGTATTCTCGTATCTCCTCCTGCATTTATTCTCTTGTGCCGTGGAAAATTCCACTGTCCACTCCTGAGAGAATGAGAATGAACAAGGCAAATCAGAGCTTTGTGTTTTCAAACATTAGCACTGACAGGGAGAAAGTAGGAGGACTGTTAGCACCTGGGGGGATTGCAATCATGGAAATGAGGCAAAAACAAAGTACATGATTTGCTGAATGTAAAACTGATGATCTGCCTTGTCAACTTTCATTCAATTCACAAAAAACTGAAACAGAAAAAACAAGATCCCCACTATCTTACAGGTCCCTGAAAGTGTCTCGGAATCATGGTCCCCTCAGACCCCACTTGAGAACCTCCACTCTGCACAGCTTTCCTTCTTAATTCTCCTCAATCTTTTCTTGATTTTGGTTTTATGACTCTCTCATATAATACATATTTTTTAAAATAAAAATATGGTTGGTTGTTGTAGAAAATATGGAAAATAGGAAAAGAGGGAATAAAGCCACATGTTTATGTGGTTTTTGTGACCGAATTCACTCAGCATGTTTTCAAGGTTCATCAATGCTTTGTAGCATTATCAGAACTTCATTTCTCTTTACATCCATTGTACGTTTCTGCCACCCATCTGTTGGTGGACATTGAAGTGGTCTCCTCCTTTTGGCTATGCTGCAGTGAACTTTGGTGTACAGATAATCTGTTTTCTACCTTCTGTCAGTTCTTTGGAGTATACATCTAGGATAGGAATGTCTGGATCATATGAAATAATACGTTTAACTTTTTGAGATAGTACCAAGTGTTGTCCACAGTAGCTGGCTGTACCATTTTATAATTTATCAGTTGTGGATGAGGGTTTCAGTTTCTCCACATCCTTGGCAACACGTGTTGTTTTCCATTTTTCTGATAGTAACCTTCCTAGAGGGGGTGAAGTGCTATCTCATTGTGGTTTTGATTTTTACTTCCGTAATGACAAATGAGCTGTGGTAGCATAGTGGTTACGAATCGGGCTGCGAACCTCAAGATCAGCAATTCAAAACTACCAGCTGTTTCGTGAGAAAAAGATGAGGCTTTCTGCTCCCATAAAGATTTACGGCCTTGGTCACTGAGTTGAAACTGACTCCACAGTACACAACCACCACCACCAATGACTAATGACAGTGCGCATCGTTTCATGTGCTTATTGACCATTTGTATGAGGAGGCTTCAAAAAGTTCATGGCCAGATGGAATTAAGAGACAATTGGATTTTTCATTTCAGTAAGTACAGTTTATTTTGTCTTTTGTTACTCATACTTTTGGTGTAATACCCAAGAAGCCATTACTGAAAATTAGACCTGAAAGTAGTATTCCTATGTTTTGTTCTGAGACCTTTAGGGTGTTTGTTTTTACATTTAGGTTGTTTTTTGCATTTCCATGGAAAGCATCACCCTTAAGAGGGAGAAAGAGTGTGATGATTCTCGTGGGTCAAGACCATAAAGTGGGACATTAACACTCTGTCTCTTCTGGCCCTGAAAATATGTTACATGGTACTCGGAGACCCTGCAAAAGCTGCAGGAGACAAGGAGTCCATGGGGTCCTTGCCCAGAAGAGAGGATAGACGTAGTAGTAGGTACACACCAAGCCTGAGCCCACACCCCTGGGCTCGGTGCCCAGCACTTCAGTTTGCAGACTGCTCCCAGGGTCCTTAAACACTCAGGTCTTGGCTACCCCATAAGCTTTTCTAGATCTGCTTCTCAAATGTATTTAAATATTTTTCTGGATTTGAACAAGCAGGCTTTCACTCAGGAAATAAAGTCAGTTCTGGTAGATCAGTGGGAAAGTTCTTTCTTACACTGATTTCATCCATTAGTAATAACAACTGCCTGTCATCCCCTTCCCGCTTGCCTCCTCAACCTCCCACGGCTGTGAGGCTAAAACACTAAAACTAAGCTTGACAGGTACCCCTCATCTCTGGATTTTTCTGCTTTATACAAGGACAGAGATTTCCATCACTCTTTAAGAACAATGTAAGATAGACCTCAGAGTTTTTTTTCCTGGAAAAAAATGCATGTGTGAAGTGAATAGGTAAAAATCATTGCTTGGTAATACTCAGAAAAATGGAAATGAGCAAGTGTAGGTGAGGATGTGGCAAAATTGGAAGGAACCCTTGTACATTGCTATTGGAGTGCAGGATGGCTCACCTGCTATGGAAAAAGTTTGATAGTTCCACCAAAAGTTAGACATAAAACTATGTGTCTTTTTTAGGTAATTGCCGCAGTTCCACTCTTACTGCTCTATTCCTACCTAAAATGATTGAAAGCAGGAGTGTTTTCAGATTCATGTACACTAACATTCAGAGCAGCATTCTTCACAGTAACTAAAAGGTAGAAACAGCACATGAATCTGAATAGACAAAATGGAATATATACATACAGTGGCGTATCATTACGTCATGAAAAGCAACGAAGTCATATGATGGATGTAATGTCACTGATTATACGTATAAAAGTTGAAATGACAAATTTTTTGTTATATTAAGTTTCAGACAGCATGAAGTTGTGATACATCTAAGATTTAATTAATCTTAAGATTTTTTTTTATTAAGATTACTAAATCTTGAACACTGTGCTAAATAAAAGAAGCCTGGTGCCAAGGTCACACATATTGTAGGACTCGGTTTAAATGAAACGTTCACAGAGGCAGAAAGGAGACAGGTGGCTGCTAAAGACTATGGGGAGAGAAGAATAGGGAGTGGCTGCTTACTGGGCCCTGGTTTTCTTTTTGGTTGAAAATGTTTGGGAACTAGGTAAGAGGTGGTGATTCCACATTATGCATTCATTAAATGCCACCCTGGTATTCACTTTAAAATGGCTAATTTTGTGTTACGTAAATTTCAATCAATTTGATATAAAATTTATTTCCACTTTTTGTTTTTTACTATTACTAAAGATGTGAGCTTCATCCTTACTTGAAAAGTCTGTCATTCCTCCTCTGCAGTTGTCTTAAAGATCTATGTGTGTGTCCTCCTCAGCACCAATGTGGGAAGTCAGCCCTCGTAGGCCTGTTTTGATAGGAAATGGTATCTAGGGTGGCAGGATTGTGGACAGACTTCCATCCTGGCTGAGCTGCTACCACCTGACATTTCCAATCCCTAGGAAGAGCCACACCTCCATGGAGGCTTCTTGGACATTAGTTCACAGTGTTGCCCAAGGAGAAGATCTCACCTATCCATAATGCCATCTCCAGACCTCCCAAGACAGTTCTTAGGCTTTAAAGTTCTATCAGTCTTAACCTGTGAAAGGAATAATTTTCCTTCCTCCAGTTTTAGCTGTGGGAAGGACAGGGATATCTGTGGATGGGGAGGGAGGTTAAAAACAGGAACTGGTATTGCTAAGAGACTAGAGATACCTGTCTCGTCAGTAAGGATATTTCACACTAGATATGTTTACTTACTTCATCACAGCCCTAACATTTGCTAACCCCTTTAAATAACCTAAGCCGTTTCCTGTCCATTTGATAATCTTCATGTTTACATAAATGAAATTGTGCGTATTTAATTTTGGTTTCAAATAAGAAAAAGCCTTGGGTAGGTGGGGGGCCCTCTATATCTGTAAGAACAATATGCAGCTAAAACATAGCGTCCACACTCCAAATAAGATCATATGCTACTGCCAGTATCTGGAATGAGGAGAGGCTGAAGTTGGTAAGAGGCTTAGAAAAGGGTCAAACTCAAGTGTCAGGGAAGGAGAACGACCTCACAGGTAAAAACTGTGTGTGCCACCTTAGACAGAAGTCAGAGTTCCAAAAATTGGAGTGCTCACTCAATCCTTCTCACCTAACACCAGCCACCTAGAGAGGTGATGAAGGTAAGTAAGGTGATAAATGAGTTGACCAGAGTATAGACGGACATAGGCCAAAATGAAAAGTCTATACTTGATTTGCATTTTGAGTATTGAAAAGACATAGGTTTTTGAGTGATACCACAGAGCTAAAAAGGCTCTGGAAGCCACATGAAAACAGTGTCTGAGGGAGTGCAGAGGAGAGGCAGGTACACCATGTGAGGATATTGCAGGAGTCTCGAGAAGTAGGATCTGACAGGGTGTTTTGAGCTGCAAGGTTAGTGGTTCAGAACCACCAGCTGTCTGAAACCCTATACAGGGTCACTGTGAGTCGGAACCGACTCGGTGGCACTTAACTGACAGGGTGTTTGTATTATTTGTGGGCTGGCTACAAAGGGAGCAGCAGAGTCAGCAATCCAAGGTCCCAGCCTGGATGACCTCTGCTGGCTGTATAGCCTCACCTGACAAAAGAGACCATACCACTAGAACTGGGGGTCCTTCATCCTCCCTGCTCTCATCAGCACCTCTACTGCCCACTCTGTCTGCTCTTACCTCTTTAATAATGCATATCTTGGGGTGGGGGGAGTTTGATGTATTTTTCATGTGAAAAAAAATTTTTCACCTTTCATGGTATTTGGTCAGTTTTAGACTGGAATACTGTAAATTAAAATTCGAGACAATAATTATTAAAGGCTCAGCTTTATGACTTGATTGTTCTGTGGCAAACACTCAGCCACTGCCCGCTCTCTCATGCCGGTGAGCGTGCATGGGGGGCCAGCGTGTGCTGACCCTTGCACATCACATACACCCTGAGCTCCTCAGGGAAGGCGGAGCTTAAGTCCAGTGCCGCCCCCCAAGCAACTCTGGGCAGCACCAAAGCAGTGCCCCTTATCCCTCGGATTTAGCATGAGTCTCACTGAAATCTTCTCTTTGCTTTTAGCTTGCAGATTCCCTGGTGCCCATGGAGATTAAGCCTGGCATTTCCTTGGCAACGGTTTCTGCTGTACTGCATACTAAAGATAACAAGCACATTCTTCAGGTATTGAATGGAGGGGTGGGCTGGGCTGGGCTGGAATTTGTGAGGAGCTGCCTTGGCATTAAAGACTAGAAGCCCACTCCCCCCCGCAGGGGTTAGGGCATCCCAGCTACCCAGAACATGTACACATACTTCCTAATCCAGCAAAAAAAAGAGGTGAAACTATTTAATGGGTTATATTTGATACAATGAGACAGGCTCTGCGACTATCTAGATTCTCTGCTGCTAATGTCTATCAGGGCCACATGCCTCCAAGAAAGACAGGAGAGAAGAGCGCCTGTTGCTGGCAACATGGCAACAGCTTCACTCCTGCAGTTAGTAGACATATTCACTGGGCACCCACCGAGCACTGTGATATGTGAGTACAAGGACGGTCCCTTCCTTAGGACTGCCAAAAGTGCAGAGCATAGTAAGGAAGGCCTTCAGGAACCTGCTTCTCTGAGGAGTGAGCTCCCACACTGCTGGCCTCCACAGCACTTTGCTGCCTAGTAGTGTAGATTTGTAGACACTTAATCCCCTTTAGAATTGGTACAATTCTTCTGCTTCCTTTGTACCTCTGCATATAGCCTGACACTGTGGTAGGTCCCTTATTGAATATTCACAAGGTTCTATGATAATCACACTTTTACAGAGTTTTGGGGTTGTTTTGAACCCTGTTTTTTGACAAATGTTCCACAGCCAGAGTAGCAGAGCGAGGATTTTAACCCAGAGCAGTGTGACCCACAGCCAGTGGCCTCAGCCTTTGTGATGTTACTACTGTCACTACAGTTGCCAACAGTTTATTATTTAGAATGTGTTCAATATATATGGAATTGAAGTCATAGAAAATTAAAGCTTCCTGATAAGCAATCTTAACCAAATGTGATGTCCCACATAATAAGAGTTTGGTGTCATGGATTGAATTGTGTTCCCAAAAACCTGTGTCATCTTGGCTAGGCCATGATTCCCAGTATTGTGTGCTTGTCCTCCATTTTTTCATGTTGTAAATCCTGACCTCTGGTTGTTGAGGCAGGGTCCTGGTGGGCACTGCAGGATAAGGACTGCACTGCTAAACGGAAGATCAGTTGTTCAAACTCACCAGCTCCTCCTTGGAAATCTTGTACAGGGTTATTATGAGTCAGAACCAACTTGACAGTACTTAACAAATATGTTGAGGCAAGGAGCCATACCTTTGCTTGAGTGACACCTTTTATCTTAAGTGCCAGTTCTGACTCATAGCGACCCTGTATAGGGTTTCCAAGGAGCGGCTGATGAGTTTGAACCGCGGACCTTATGGTTTAAACTGACGTTGCAGTCCAGCACATTAACCCACAGCACCACACCAGTGCAGCAGAGAGGGAAGGGACCTCACAAGCTTGTGAGAGAAGAGCTTCCCACAGTCTAGGATGGACTCAGTGAGCTGCCCTAACCTTTGTTTCTACAGATTTAGTTCTGAGTTTCGTGCTGTCTTTCTTTCCAGCCCCCTCCAAGGCCCACCCCGCCCACAAGTGGTAAGAAGAGAAAACGAGTGAGTGATGACATTCCAGACTGCAAAGTTGTGAAGCCTCTGCTGAGCGGCTCCATTCCCGTGGAGCAGTTTGTGCAGACCTTAGAGAAGGTAAGCAAGCTCAGTGAACAAGCTGGCCTTGCTGGTGCTCACTGTTAATGCTGCCTTACTCAGTTTCCATGGCCTGAGCTACTTCTTTTTTTTTTAATTTAAGGTTTTTATTGTGGATTGAGTGAAAGTTTACAGGGCACATCATCAGTTTCACATTCAACAATTCATATAACTTGTTTCATTA